AGCTGCTTGTGTTTATACTCTTACTTGGGTCCTGCAACAAGTATAAGCACAAAAAAAATTTAGAAACAAAGAAAAAAGGATCAAACAGGATCTACATCAAGAATCTAGACTGTAGATCCTAATCACTCAAAGAATGCATACCTAGGCAAGAATATTACTTCCAGGTTTACTTAAAAGTAGCATCCTTTCCATTTAAAATAAATTGTCTATACATTTCTTAGGATAAAATCAGTTTTCAAAAATGAATACAATACCTCAATGGCTAAAGGTAGTAGACTTTTTCATTAATTTGTAGTGGAGATAAGAAAATCTACGAAAGCTAATCTAAAATGCTTGGCAGATAAAGTAGGCCAATTTTATCTTCAGAACAAACTAGGATGCTAAAAAAAGCAGCATAAAATGATGAGGACAAAATCAAGAGTTTTGGAAATTCTAATACAATGTCAAGTTTTAAAGAAAAAACGTTGCAATGATAAGCCAGTGAAAGAACTTGCACTTTATAGCAAAAAAATTTAAGGGTTGGAACCAACACAGCCTTATTGTAATGTTTCAGACAAAGCATTATGTTGCCCCACCTTTTGATAGAGCCCATTTTTCATATCTAGTGTTAAATGTGGATCGGTACCGGTGAACAACTATCAGCACCCTCCTGGCTGTCCAGTATTCTAATGAATGAAGGGGTTTCTTTGTTGTTTTTGAAAACTGCAGTGGGGCCTAAAGCTTGAGTAAGTTCTGGTGTTCCATACCGTTGCTTTGTCCTTTCCTTGATTTCACGATCTTTATTTCATTCTGCTCCAAACTCAATCTTTGACAAAGAACAACATTACTTCTTAAAAAAGGTCTGTATTTCAGGATTTTTCCCAGGCATACAATAGCTTCCTTTGCCCAAATCTGCTATTGTAAAAATGTAAAAGGTCAAACCTGGAGTGGAGCCAGAATCTTTAAATGGAACCAGGAATAATCACATTTTAAAACTCCTGAAAATGTTATTTTTGGGAATGTCGTTCATTTATGAACTGGCATCACTGTTACCTGGCCCTGTTTTCAAAAGATGCTGAACATGCCTGCAGCTCCCATTGACTTAATGGGTAGTAGCCAGTAATCAGTGCCTCTGAAAATTCATTTTACTCCAGGGATGCAAGCAGCAAATATGTACAATAATTCTTCCCTGAAACAAGTCTTTTTTTTATTGAATCAACAATTCCATAAGAAAGAAATTCACTTTATAAAGTGTAACATCAATTAAATGAGGCTGAATAGTTTCTTACATTGATTATACAAAAACAAAATTAATATATGTATTTATATATACCAAGTTCTTATGAAGACATGTACATGAAAAGAATTACTGTCTATAGTTGTTAGAGGTCTGCGAAGCTTCAGTTGCCAATTCTATTCAGACAAGTTTTGGCCAAATTCAGAGGCCGAATCACTGAATCAGAATCAAATAGGGAGACAAAAAAAAAACCCACTCTGAATCAATTCGGAGCCTCCAAATCAATTCATAAAAGATTCAGAAAAAGATTCAGAGATTTGGCGATTTGGAATGCAGTCTTGCAGGGAAACAGAAATTGAGAAAAGGGAGGGGGATCGGGGGGAAAGACTGATATCTGTAGCTGGCCAGTGACTGTGATCTTTCCCTGAGTCCCCTTCCAATCATGGTGCTTTGGGGGAGGGATGTAGAAACAGCATATAAGCCTCTGTCTGCAGCCTTTCTGTCCCTTTTGTGAGCTGTTTCTGCCTGAGCAACAGCATCTGAAAGGTACTACTGGACTGGACTGGCTTCCTAGTCAGTCTCCTGCTAGTGTCTCTCTTCTTGGAAAGGATTGGATACAGCTTATTAATTACCCTTGCCTAGAATCCCTCTACTTATCCAATCCATTTCTTTCAACTTATTCTTCCCTCAAAAAACCTCTTATTTGTTCTTGTTATTCTCCCCCCCCACACACACACACACTTTTTAAAAACAAAGCTGTGTTTTGCTTGCCTGGCAGTGTGAGATCCATCACTGTGCAGGAAAGCATATACATTATACACGCTCACACACATAAGGTAAACAGAGAAGAAAAGATATTACAGTTACACACACATACCATAAACAGAGAGAAGAAAAGATATTACAGTTGTGTGCGCACACACATTTTCCAGCACAGCAAACATGGAAACTGCAAACATGGAAACTGCATTTCCAGCATGCTGAAAATGCAGGTGCCAGGCCTTCTGGCAGGGGAAGGAGAGGGGCTAGAGAGGGTAGGGGAAGAGCTGCAAGTTCCCCCTGTCCCCCCAAACATAGACGCATCCTCTTTCCTGGCAGCAATGAGTCATCTGCTGCCAGTGGGTGCAAGGAGGGGGAAGCAGTACCTGTCCCTACACCATCTCCCCTAACACCAGAAATAGCCACAAGCACCGGCATGACAGTCTCCTCCACCCCAATTTCATCTCCCAGTGAAAGCCTCCCAGTGCCAGAGGAGGAGATGGATCTGGAAGCAGGAGACCCGAGCACCCTAGCAAAAGAAATTCTGGGGAATGAGGGGGATCTGAGTTTGTGCTCCGCACCCCTCAAAGTTCCCCTAGAGCCAGATCTCCTTTTCCAGAAAGCACCTCGAAGGAGGTTATGAGGGCAGGTGGCTCAGCTTCCCCTGTTGTTGTGCCTCTGCCTGCTGAGGAGGGGATAAGGCAGGATCCCCACCCGCAACGCAGAAGTGGAAGGGTAGCGTAGTGTGGGATCATTTTGAAGTGGCAGACAGTATGCTATCTGCCAGCACTGCTGAAAGCAGATCAGCCAGGGCAAGGAGGTAAAACACTTTACCACCATAGCGATGCTGCTGCATCTCAGGAGACAGGACCCCTTGGCCCTTGTTTCTTCTCAGCCAGGCACAAGTGTGTGTGTGCCCCAAAAGAAGTCCCCCTCTCACTCCAAAGCCCCCGTCCCAATGAAGCAGAGGCAGGTCACCCTGGAGCAGTGGGGAAAAGCCACAGACAAAGCGAGGGACATATTGCATAGGTGAGTAAGGTCACCCAGAACATTGGGAACATGCTTGCTCTTGATGGCCAGCCCTTTTCCTTAGTTGAGCATCCAGGGTTCAGGTTGCACTCCTGGCCCCATACTACCAAGTGCCCACACACACCACCCTTAGCAGGATGGTGGTGCCCTCCCCGTATGAGGCATGCAGGGAGTACTTGAGGGAGGAGCTGCACAAGGCAGGGTCGTAGGTAGCCTTGCACTTCACCTCGGACATCTGGAGCAGCCGGGGTGGAGATCATGCCTCTCTCTCCCTCACAGGGCACTGGTGCCATCAGTCAGGCTGTTGGTGGGCTCTCCTCCAGGCGGAGGTGATGGATGAGTCTCACATGGCAATTGAGACCATGATGGCCATGAACTGCATGGTGCAGGGGTGGCTCGTTGGGCAGGGTGAGTTCACCTGTGGGTTCATGGTCACCAACAATGGGGCCAATATGGTCAAGGAAGTGCATGATGTGTTGGCATCCACTGTGTGGCACACAAGTTCCACTTCATAGTCAGGGATGCCTTGGAGGGGGACTGTCAGTGACAGCAGTGATGGCACCACCACTACCACCCAGCTGATTTCAAAATGCAGGAAGGTGGTGGGCTACTTCCACTGCAGAATCAAGGGTGGCAAGATGTTGTAGAACAAACAGACAGAGCTGAGTGTTCCACAGCACCAAATCATGCAGGATGTAGAGACTCGGTAGAACTCCACATACCTGATGCTGGAAAGGCTGGTGGAACAACAGAAGGCCATCCATGAGATGGCCTTGCTCAGGGAGATTGGGATCAGTGGCCGCCTTAAAGCGCAGTGGTATACCATCTCCCAAATGTTGGTGGTCCTCAAGCCATTCCTCGAGGCCACCGAGACCCTCAGCACTAGCAACGCTCTCCTTAGCCAAGTGATCCCTATAGTCAAGGAGCTTGAGAACGAAATGGGGAATGTTCCTGGCTGGGGCAAACCACTTTCACCAGACATGCAGGCATTGCTGAAGCACCTGAATGAGGACATCAAAAAATGGCTGCATCTGCTGTGGTCCAGTACAGTCCATGTGCTGGTGGGCATGTGCAATGCATCAAGGGGAGCATGTGCAGTATCAAAACCCTTGATCACTGGATGGAGGCACTGGTGAACAGAGTCAGGAAGGCAGAAGGGCAGAGGTGAGGGGATGTGGAAAAGAGGATTCCATTTTCATGTGCCAGGACTCCCACCAGCCAGTCTCCTTCAAGCCAGCCACTGCCAATGTGGGCCAAGGGCATGGCTTCAATGTTGGGGTCCAGAGGCAACAGACCACAGCCTCGGGCAGCTAGTGCCAAGGCTTCAGCAGCTACCTATCTCACCAAGGACGTGGAGCCACTAGACTGTGACCACTTGGCCTATTGCGCAATGCACAGCCAGATGTAGCAGGATTGATCATGGATGCCTGGGAACACCTGTCCTGTCCACTGATCAGTGTGCCAAGCGAGAGGGTGTTCAGCATTGCTGGGTATGTTTTGACACCCCACCATACCTCCTTGGATCTTGGTTTGATGGAGCAGCTAGTGTTCCTGAAGGCAAACCTCCCACTGCTGGGGTTTCCCAAGCTCCACCTGCAGATGGAATGAATGCCACCCTCCTCACTCTGGCCACACCTATTCCCTTTTTCCCCCCCCTTTTTTTAAACCATTTAATGCCCTGCCCTCAGAGCTGGAGAGGGCAATCACTGCATCACCAGCAGAGAAAGAACATCTCCCTGCTGAGCTCCTGTGTCAGGATGAACTTGGAGGTATGGGCTAGGGCTATGGGGAAGGAGGACACCCCAGGTCCTGGGTATGACCTAAAACTGCACCCTGCCAGGGTCGAGAGGTCTGGGGGGACTCCTGGTGGTGCAGCAGCCCCCAAGAAATGCCAGGATCATGAACCTTCCTGCTGAAAGGCAGGTAGGAGGCACCTTATAATCTCCAGCCACCACACGCATGCACTGTGCTGACTAGGGAAAGCCCAGACCTATAAGATCTTTGAGAAGCCTGAGGCTTGCTGGTTA